ATGCTTCAAATAAAGTCTAGATTTGTTTTAGCGAAAAAAAAATTTTGGGGTTAGGTGCACTTTAAGAAATGTAAACATATTAGGCTTTACGGAAAGAAAATTGGCCCATGTATGGCTATCTTGAAGTATTCCCTGTTCGGCTGTAAGCTTGAATAGACATCGAAAGGAAATCGCGAAACAGTTTTTTAAAACAGTTTTACTGATACCTAATCCATCTGGACATGACCTTTGTAAGTTCATAATCATTGCTAACAATAATTATTGTACCAGCTGTGCTTCTTAAACATCTACACAAAACTGAGCGTTCATCTGTACGTATGTTTAGATCTTGTTAGAACCGTGATTTTCTTCTGTTCTAATTGTAATCTGAATTCTTAGTTCAACCCGGATTTAACAAGTAGAATAATTGGTAAATAAATTACTTTGGCTGTGACTAGGACAGTTCCCTGACAATTGATTTGTCTTTCGTATTGCAGCGACAGATTTGCTTATCCGTAATCGTAATTAATATTCACCTTGAGATATTGCTTCAAGTACAGTGCAACATAAAGATTGCGGCCATTTTACCAGTAAAGGCAATGCTAACGTACATCGTGAACAGTAACCAACCACAAATTTCAAGAACAGAGTGAGCTTAGTTTGTTAAAGCAGAGTTGCACTGCATTTACACTAACTAACTACAGCGACATAACTTCCTTTTAAAAAGCCTGTTCGATATACAAAGATAACGCTATCTGTAGAAATAGTCCAGTCCCTGAGGTTCCCCTATTGATTACCGTCCTGGATAAAGGTTGGGGAGTTCGGAACTAGACGAGGCTTGGACTATATAAGAAATAAACTAAATGAGAACTGTAATTCCACAATACTAGTCTGGGTATATGGTGTTTATCGAAAATACTTTTGTCACATTGAAGTAATTCGATGTAATAGCTGCTATCATAAACAATAAAATACTTGATTGTGGGAAATAATAAGAAAGTTTACTAAAACTTGAATAAGTCATGAGGAGCTTTACCCTCTAAAAAATTCTATCCAGGAGGTCTTTTAATCTTGTACACGACTTATCATCGCACGCCAGGAAACATAACATGAAATGGAACCGTACCCGATACGTGTTTTATTTGTCTCACAGTTTTGCCTTTGCGATCATGCTCGAAGTCCGTGATGCGTTCGTCGCATCTTTATTACTGTACTTTGCTCGCTAAACCACCAGAATAGCTCACTGTGGGACTTAATTCAATCCTTCTATAGAGGGAAAAACCGCCGAATTTGCAGCGATACAGTAACACAGCCATCTACCCCTGTGGTCTCTGCTTTTACGAGGGTGAAAAATGCATTGGTAAAATACTGGTAAGAAAACAATATCCAGACCATGTAAAAAAGCTTTACATTCTTCTCTCTCATTCTGAGAGGAATAGGGGCCGGAAAATATGACAGGACGGTTGGGCGAAATCATGAAAAGATCCATCTGGGACATTTACATGTAACTCTCAATCGCGAAATATAAAAGATGCAAAAGGTTTTTAGAAAAGTATTCCTGGTACGTTTTTATCCCATTGAGAACACACAAACGAATTAGCAAACACCAAAACAAAACAAGAAAAAAACAAAAGAGAAAAGAAAAGAAAAAATGGAAAAAGGCCTGTGTGACCCGGTGGCCTTCTTGGAAGCTGAAAACATATGATAGCTGAACACAACATGTCAAGAAATGATATGCCTTCGTATTTGTGTCACTGAAGAGATCATAATTTGAAAAAATTTTGCGAAGCTCACAAAGGCACATATGTGACTAAATCCAGCACTGTCTTCTAAATTGCATTAGGTCATATATCTTACTTATGGACCTTTGGTGTGAATTCATGTAACAGTCAACAACTCTTAAGAGAAAAAAGAAAAAAAAAAACATCAACTACCTGGTCTCAGACTCTCATAATAACTTGGAAGTGGAAAAATAAATTCGTTGACGTAAGAGAGAGAATCGGGCTTAGTGAACATTCGCTCTCTTATTCAGTTGCCCTTACAGAACCTGGTAAACTATTGATTGAAAAATGGCGCATTGTTAACACCAACATAATTATCATTGTATGACTTTGAGAGACGTGTGCGATATTTAATTGGCCCGAACATTTCTAAAGATAAAAAAGGCCGAGAATTTGTTATCGGGTATATGGCGGCTTATGACATATTTTAAAGGCGTGGTACTTAGTGTTATAAATCACGATGGTAATTGAACTAAGTGGAGTACAATTTGGTCTGAAATATGACGCGTGATTTCAGCTTAACTCTTGCAACTTCATTCCGCGTTTCTAGATTTGGACGTCGAGGTAATCATTTTCAATTCAGTAAAGCTAGAGTTGGTCAAGGCGTTGAAATAGTATTTATTAACTCTATTCCTCAAAGGGGTTGCCCACCAAGAAGCTGACTGAAATCATTGTTTCGTTAAAACGAGAGCGGTATAATCGGGCTCGAAACGTCATAACCGACCAACAACACAATTTCAAACTGCATGAAGGTAGATTTTTGTTGTTTAAAAGGAAAATTAAAAAAATGAAGTTTTGCCTCCATACTAATAGCAAGGAAGTCGAGTAAGAAAAGCCTGGAACTTACCGTTTTCAAGTTGTTTATTAAAGTTTTGGATTAATTTCTACAAGAAAGGCAAAACAGATAATTTAATATGCAAATTTCAGCTTACTCCAGCTAGCTGTCAATCATTGCAACACTTCCTTTTCTTTTTTATTGCTCACGTGGAACCAGATTTAGTGTTGAAGTCAAAACAAAAATCTGAGAGCTCTACTGAGGAATAATTTACCTGGAAAGTATGTTTGAATCAGATGAATATGTCTCATGTTACTAACTGGAGAGTAACCAGCTGAGAGGACCATTTGTCATTACGACCAGTCTCGTTCAGTTTTTGACGAAGGATCCGATTTGAAAGTGACGACACAAACAAATGTAAGTGATAATCGTTCGAAACAAATTATCTTCCTTTTATAACCTGTGTCAAAGTACATATTCTAACAAAGCAACTATATTTTTGTCAGTTTTAAAGTGAACTAGTTGTTTGAGATAGCAAAGTCTTTGCCATTGGAGGTTTACTTGTATTTTTTTTTAGGTTTACAAATTCATGAGGAACAATAAAGCGTTCGATATCTATGTATTTCTCAGCCGTGGTGCACTGCTGACGTGTACACTCCAAGACTGATCTTCATGATGCTCCAGCCATGAGCGATCAGGTCACTTTTTATTTTTCACACCCTGCCGTTTTTCGGTCTCGTTCTTTGTTCGCTTTTGGGGAAGATACCAAGCTACCTGGCCTGTTTAGCAAGTTGGCAATTGCAGATAATTTTATTTCTTGGAATTGTAATATAATCCTCTAGCCAAAAAGATGAATTAAAAACGTATTTTTTTATTGTTTAAAAAGGTTTAGCGATGGGAAAGATTTTGTTACCTCAAACAACTAGTTCACTTAAAAACTGACAAAAATACAGTTTATTTTTTCACAAAATAAACTTCTGTGGCAGACTATGCAACCGGATTACTTTAATGCCAAATGAAGCAGAAGCAGAAGATAGCACTGTCTAACAATGCGATCCTTACCCGATCCAGAATTTTCACCCGCTAAATTCAAGATTTTTATGCCGTGGTTTAAAACCGAAACAAAATCCCAGCTTGAAGGGAAGTGGAATAAGAGTGCAGAAAAATTCTAGCCTGACCGAATTTGTATAAGAACTGTAGTTGTACAAACTCTCGAAGCAAAATGAATGTGTAAATGTTTTTCACCACCTCGCGTCTCAAACAAACGTTAAACTTTGTTTTTTTCGTACTTGTAATCGAAATCCTGATCTCCACCAGATATAAGAGCCCAACAGCAACAGACTCTTGAAAAGCAGTTGAATTCTGTTTGAGTACTTTTTGCCGTTTAGATAATCTTATGACGGCTAAACTGATCTTCTTGGCGTCGGATTGTTCCTCTGGTGTTGCTTGACCCACCTCGTTTCTAAACAGTGTTAAGCTTTGAGAACACAATCCTGATTATTT